CGCTCTTTACGTGAATTTAAATTTTGTGCTCTCTGCGGTAAAGAGATCCCCATTCATTCCTTTTTTCTTTTTTTTTTACTTTACACTGATTGTCCTGAGAGGGATGATACAGCATTTGTTTTAAAGATTTCAAGTCTTAAAGTGTGTTAAGTGGCACCTTCTCTTTGATTTGATGTGGGTGAGAAGAAGCCATTGCTGTGGTTTTGTTTTTCCCGCAGTCCAGTTCCTCTCACGCTGCAACAAACCATCACGATATGCTGTCATGACCTTGTTTGTTGATAAAAAAGTGTCCGATGAGGAGGACTGTCGGAGCAGGAGTTAAATATAATACTGCAGGTCTCTGTAGAATAGATTTAAGTAAGGCTAGTGGCTGATTTGGTAATGGCTCTATAGTGTTTTACACAACTAACAGCTGTGAAAACCGGCGAGTGCAGCTTTGATAGAGCTTATATAATGTAACAGAGTGTGTGCTGTGTGGGAGTTCTAGATGTAACCTGCGAAGTTACCCCACAAACGTAAACAAACTTTGATCAGGGAGCAGGGGAAGAGAGAACGCCGCGGGACGAGGGGCACACAAGATCTGGTGCTGCGAGCCATGCATATGCTTTTTTCCGGGGCTGTGTTGTGTGACCCGCACACACACACACACACACACACGCACGCACAAACGCACAAGTGTGAGTGAACGTCCGTGGGAGTGAACGCTTTCTGCATCACAAAGTGACGAGCCCGAGCTTGTGTTCTGTAAAGCATCTTTGGAATTTGGCTTCCCTGTCCTTCTCTCCTCTGTCTCAGTCCCAGTGCTGACCCGTGTGTCTCTGGGGGTTTGAAATGTCCTCTCTTCACGCTCAGGCATTTCATTGAAAGCTTTGTTTTCCCCACAGGAGACCTGATTACGATGTTTTTAGGAGAGAGCGTCCTTGAAACCCTCCTCTTGAAGGCTGCATGTTTTGTTTTCTTTGTGATCGCAGTAAAGTGGTAGTTGTATGGTTTTCTGGATGAGTTAGGATATCGTCCTCAGAAGGCTCAACCCAAACCTTCACTGCAACGGCTCACTGAAAACCTTTTAGAGGAGACTCACACCTCCTAGCTGCCTGTTCACATCTCTCCTCTTTAGTATGCGCCACTCTAGATCACTAGCACTGTACAGTGTTAAGAAAAATAATATGATTTTATATCATGACCTGAGATACATATGAATGAAGAGGGGAAAGTTACAAGGCACACATTCATATTTTTTTGACAGGTTTATTGTAAGGAGATGTATTATACTTCACTTCATATCATAAGCATATTTCACTTAGACAGAGAAAAGAATGAGAAATATTTATTATTAATATTTTTTCAGTACGGGAATGAAAGTATTCAGTATCACCGTTTCCCAAGATATATTATACAGTCCCACAAAGTAATTATACTGATGCTCAGGTCCATTCAGCAGCCTGACAGTGTCTGCTGACTAGATATAATCAATAAATCTGTGGAAGGATTTCATTCATGTGCTAACCAGAAACATGGATACAGTGTGTTTGTAACCCAGCAGATGCAAGTACAGGTGTATAAGAATGATCGAGTTTCATCTGTTCATCTGTATCTGTGCAGCACTTTGATACACAGCTGTACGATCAAACATTTTCATGTTTTGATCGAAGTTCGCAGCTTTTGAAAAAGCTCATCACTGCTTTGAAAGAAGCATAAATCAGGAACAGAGCAGATTTCAATTAGACTGTAACTGTTCAGCGCTGGTAGGAAGCACGGCTTTGATCCATGTGTGTGTGTGTGTGTGTGTGTGTGTGTGTGTGTGTGTGTGTGTGTGTGTGTGTGTGTGTGTGTGTGTGTGTGATTTAAGGAGGTGTGTTGCGTTTCAGGGCCCCTTGGCTAGTCTAGGCTGGGCTGTAAATCTTGCCGTGTCTCCTGGTTTACTTGGGGGCCATAAACTAGAAGGCAATTATGGAAAACAACTGGATGCAAGATTTCTTCAGTCCTGTAAGATTTGTGGTTGCAGCCTAAAAGGATTTTTACCCTCCTATCTACCCAAAAGGAATTGCTTTGCCTCAGCCGCCCTCACCCCAACCCCAGCTTCCCGTCAAGCATCGATTGGCCTCTCATGTCTTTGGCAGATACAAGACACAAACTGAGTAAAATACCGGACATAAAAATACTGTGTCAGACCCTGGCCAGTGGCCATTAGATTTGGCACACTCATGATTTATTCATATGGTATCAGACACATACACATATACACACTCAGCATGACCTGCACTGACTCATATCCATCATGTCTTACTCTGACCCGGGACACAGTAAGACAGGAAGACTTCCTGGTCCGATGGCACCAGAGCTCGTGCACTTGTTCAAAGAGCTTCACGTTATATTTGATTATATTCATTATCACTGATTATCGGGTTTCTCTCCTCAGCCTGAGTTCAGCTTCTATTATAGTGGCTTATTAGGAGCCGAATGCTTTGGTGGAAAGTTTTACATTGGGGGGAAATAGTACCTCATGAATATAAACATGAGCAGCTTGGGCTGCTTTGATCTCGGCCTGGCTGAGAGCCCTGAGTGGAGTGGGCTGGAGCTGCCGTTGCACAGCTCTCTCTGCCTATTTTAACCATTTGCATAATTGTTATAACTGTCGAGGGCAGCAGAGCAAAGCACTTGATAAATGTGGATTGTATTAGAAGCAAGAGGAGATGCCGGAGTGTCACTGCGGGTGTCTGTTCTCATACGCGGGATATTCGTGTGTGACAGTGAGAGGGAAAAATTGCTTTAAAGGTAGCGTGCGTGTCATGAGTGTGTACCGACAGCCAGGCGGCAGCTCGGCCCAGTCATTAGTTGGGACGAGCCTAGGTTTGATGCCCCATGCAGCCATGCACCTGCCAAAGCATTTCTTCAGCAACCGACTGTGTTTCTGCATGTTTCTGCCTTCAGATCATGCACACAATGTTTTACTGCAAACAGTTTCCAAACCTTCATTACCTGAAACCTGCTCGAGGTAGGTCATCAATCCACCCCAGTGACAGGTTTTACCTTTACTTTTTCATAAAGTTGTTCCTTGTTGTGTCATAGTTTTGGCAGGAGAAGGTTTGGAAACACATCACATCTTGTTGGTGCATTCATCATACCTTTACAGTGAAATGTTCTTGAGAGAAACATCTCAAATATCGAATGGGTTCTGTCCTTGAATGCAGGAAGGAGGAAATTACATTCCGGCTAACAATAACACATCTTTGACAATGAAATGTTCTCCATGATGAGTTACCTATCTAAGGGAACTTTTGAGCCCCTCGGGTTTATTTTCATATTATAATGAAACTAATGCAAAACCAATTGGTAGTTAATAGGATACCTGTTCCATGCGTGCCACATCAGCTGGCTGAGCACAAAAGGAAAATTTGCCTCCCTCAGGTCCTATTTATAGTTGGAAAGATTGCAGCGAGTTTGTGTGTTTTATGGTCTCGAGAATGTTTTACAGCTAATGGGGGTGTTTATGCACAGGAAGAGAGAGGGTCACAGGGGTGAAATCAATAGTGATCCTTAATGAGGTTGTCTGAAAAGAAGGAAGGGAAGGGGTTATGTGGGTGATTTGAAAAACGATGGTGGTGGGGAGGTTGTAGAGAGAATGATTTGGAGCTGAAGAGGCTCAAACTCGAGTTGACAAAACAATAGTGCCTCTTGGGTAGGTGTTGGGGTAACTTGGCAACTGGTTTAGTTTTGTCAAAGTTGAGAGAAAATGTTAATCATTGTATTGTTATTTTTGCTCCACATAATGTTGCCTGCTGTGTCAGAGACAAGACCTGGTATAACGCAAACAGCCATCAGAAGGCATACGGTGTGATTGGTACATTGGATACACGTGATTTTCATGAGGGACAGGAAACCTGCAAACAAAATAAGCCGCCGTAGCACTCGATTAAATCATCGATAATGTTTACTCTGTATGTTTTTTTTTTCTTCTTTTTTTTTTAAGAAAGCTCTGCTGTGGCGGGATCAGTTATGTAACAGGCTTGTGACATATGCTGCCCTACCTCAGAAAAAACAACATAACCCTCACAGAGTACACGTTTCATGTGATCCTCTAGTCTTTTGAGTTGCCAATGGCACAAACAAACATGAGATTCTCAGAAGCAAGACTGAAAGTGCAGCAACTGCAGCATGAAATTGAAATTTTCAAACTGGTTTGGGATTTGTCCTCTTTGTAAAAGGTATTTTTACGCTTCTCCTTTAACAGGGTTTGTATGGGGGTCAGTGTGTGTGTGTGTGTGTGTGTGTGTATGTGGGTGGGTGTTGTGTGGTGTGGTGGTGTGTGTGTGTGTGTGTGTGTGTGTGTGTGTGTGTGTGTGTGTGTGTGTGTGTGTGTGTGTTTATGTTTATTTTGTAGTGAAGAGCTGTGCTGTGATGTTGTGGGAAGCTATTAGTTATTGTAGCTGCGCTCTGAGACAGCTGTCTGTGCAGAGGAACACAGCTGATGAAACGTCTGTCAGCTCACACTGTCCCTCCAGAGATCAACATCCGCTCAGGGTAGTAAAGGGCCAAATGGCTTCATGGATGGCAATGTCAGTCAGTCAGTCCACACTAAAATATCTCAAAAACTACTGGATGGATTGCCATGAAATTTAAAATGTATTTTACATCCATGGTCTCTAGAGGATACTGAAGTGTACTGACTTTGGTGAGCCCCAGACTTTTTATCTAAAACTAGCTTCTTCTTTTTTTTTTTACCATTTTCTGACATTTTATAGACAAACAACTAATCAGTTAATGAAAAAATCATCGCCAGTGTAATCGACAACGAAAACTGTTGTTAGTTAAAGTCCTAAAAAGTTCAGAATGAACTGCAGTTTTTTGAGAAGCAGGGAGCATCTTAACAGAGAGCCTATGTTGATATGTCGCCATCAAGGGCGCAGCCATCTTGGTACTCAGCTTACTAAAAACAGGTCTACCTACATCACCTTTCTATGAGCACTCAACTCATCTTGTCCTTTTCTTCTTTTCTACAGAGCACCTTACGCCCCCACAGAGACCAGTAACCAATGGCAACCTCAGTCCAGACCCTTCCTCTGACCCGTGGCCCCGACAAAAACTTCCGTAACCCTTTCCCAGCCCGGCCCCTCTCCTCCCGCTGCGGCATGGGAAGCGTGGGCAGTCTGGTAGAGAGGCCAGATGTGTCTCCGACCAAAGGCAGCCGCGCGGTCCCCCAGGTGAGACCCAAACAGACCAACGGCCTCCTGAAGAAAGGCTTCACCCAGAGAGAGCTACTCAACTACCTCAACATCACCAGGTGGGTGCTGCTATTGAGAAGCAGATGCTTTTGTTGAAGCTACTACAAAGTGTGACAGAGCTTGACCTCAGTTGACCTGCTGTGCCTCCAAACAGAAAAGAGCCTACAGCAAACCCAGGAAGCGATAGCAAGAAGGATATTATCTCTGGCCTCAGCTCTGTCAGTGGCCGTGAGGAGGACAATATGTACGCCAAGGTCTACCATAAAGATGGCACCGAAGTAGATTTGACAAAGAACTCGCTGCCAAGCGGGGGGAAGTATGAAAAGGTGAATATTGTTATTTAAAACGCTTATTTTTGTATGATTAAATACCTAAATTATTAAACCTGTTTCAACATAAAAGCTCTTGATTTGAGTTAGGAAGCTAATCTATACTCTATCAGCAAGTCTTTGTATCACATGTCCACCAAACATGTGTTACTATAGATTTCTTCAAGAATGCAAGAATCATAGATTAAATCTTAAACGTATGTGAAGTAAAAGTACTTAAAAGTTCCCTTCAGAGCAGAAGGTAGAACTCGAGTGTCATTCACTAACTCAGGCACAGATGCGGATGAATGACTTCCCATTGTGTTCTTTTTATAAATGATGTATAGCCAGTGACTTGCTGTGTTAAATCTATCTGCATCACATTTATACATCTCTGGCAGTGTGATGCAACACCCCCATAGCATGTTACCTGCATAAATCAGCCTTAAATCTCTCACAGCTCACCAGCACAGATTGAGAATCTGCCACTTGCCGTGTTCTGAATTTATTGCTGCAATCAAATCTTACTTTTTTTTTTTTTTTTCTTTTTTTTTTGGTTGAATTGATCAACGCTAAGAACATAGAGGGTGGAGCAGTATTGATTTAATGGAAGCACTGTGATTTATGTTACATAGCATACCCTTCTCCACCACCCTCTACTATATTCCATCTCCTTCTCTAGGCTCGTTTCAGATCATCGGCCTTCAAGCCCGTCACCCCCAAAAACTTCAGCTCCATGCAGAACCTCTACCCGTCTTCCAAGTCGGAGGATGTGGACCATGGCCTTTCCAACGGGTTGCGCAGAGCTTACGCCCATGTCCCTAAAGCTGTCTCCACCTCCTCTTCCTCTTCCTCACCCTCCCGTCACGGTGGACCGTCATCCAGTGGTAACAAGGTATCTTAACATATGATCATAGCTTTAAGCCTCGATCCAGTTCCCAATCCAATCGATGCCCAGTTATTACACACAGGTATTTTAGAGTCGATTACAGAAGCAAAACACTTAACTACTCATGATTCTTCATTTTATACAGCCCATTATTAGTCACTAAAAATAATCTATTTTCAACCTATTAATGTTAAAGTGATGAATAACTGCATAAATATGACGGTGTAGACCCTCTCCTCGGTGCGTGGGATGAGCCAGGAGGATGATAACCTGTCAGACTCGGGCCATAACTCCATGAACAGCCTGCCGCCGTACCGGCCTCCCTTCCGCCCACACCTGGCTCACATCAGGTCTGCTGCAGCATTATTGTCTGAGCTCTACTTTATATTCAAATGGAGTGTTGCTGTAATTGATTTTTCATACTTAATGACTGTGTGGGAAGTGATAATAGAAGAGATTTTAATAGCATTCTTGGTTTCTTTTTTTTCTTTTTTTTTTTACCCTAGTGCATCTATGGGCCACATCAACACCATCGGCTCCCTGGACCGCACCTCTCTGGGCCCGAAGGCTGTAGGCTCAGAGGGTGTGGCTATAGGGGAGATGGCCTGTCGGAGCATGGCAACCCTGAGTCGATTGGCTCCATATGGAGGGGAGGCTCCACCTCCGTATGAATGGACACTCTCTCTGTCCGTGGAGGAAGTGGTGAGTACTGCACAGATGGATGGATAGACGGGAGGACGGGCAGGTCAGTACAGTTTACAGATTCCTAAGTCATTCATTCTGCTGTCCTTTCCAGGTGCGGGACCTGGAGGAGCGCCTGGTGGAGAAAGAACATGAGCTGAAACAGATGAAAAGAAACCTGGATGAGAGTGAGGGCGCCATCGCTCAGGTGAATCTCATTGTATTAGTCTGTTCTTCACCATCAATCTATACACCTGTCTGCCTCTCTTTTGAAGTCTGACCCCCATCTGCTCGCCTCATGCAGGTGTTTGAAGGGAAACAGCGTCTGTGGGAGAAGGAGGTGGAAGAGCTGAAGCGCCTTTATGCCGCCAAGCTGCGTCAGGTTTCCCAGCATGCTCAGCGTTCCCAGCGCAGCCTGCAGTTGCAGCTGTTCAAGGCCCAGCAGGAGAAGACCCGACTGCAAGAGGAGCTCGACAGTCTGAAAAGGGAAAGGAGCCAAGAAGATGGAGCCGTAGCAAAACGAACCAGCCTGACCCTGGAGGAGACGCAGTGGGAGGTAAGGGACAGTTTATGGCAGGGGGACGCACTTTACAGAAGTAATTACAGGGAACAGACAAGATAACTGAATTCCTTCCTTGTTTGTCCTGTTAAAATGATCACAACAAGGTCAGTTAAGTCAGTAAAAAATTTATGTTTCTCCTGCCCCTATCCCTTCTTTTCCCATTACTCTATCTCTCAGGTTTGCCAAAAGTCAGGGGAGATTTCCTTGCTGAAGCAGCAGCTGAGGGACTCCCAGGCAGAGGTGACCCAGAAGCTGAGTGAGATCTTCCAGCTCAAGACGCAGCTGAGGGAGACCCGCACGGAGCTGCGCAACAGAGAGGGCCAGATAGATGCACTAAAGCTCGTCCTGCAGGGGACCCAGCGTCGCAGGTGTCCCTCTCAGAATGCACATGAAGAAGGAAAAGGAGCTGAAGAGAGGACGTCTGCTGGGGCAACAGGTATTTTTATTTTTATGTTTCTGTCTCCTCCTTGTGTCTGCAAATCTGTCGCTGACAGTGTCTGCACTGTGTGATTTGATGGTCTAAAGGTGCACATCTCACTTGCCAAAAGCACAGATTAGAGTAGTTTTTTGAAGTCTCAAAGGGCTTTACATAAAGCTAACGAGATCTAACTGATCAACAGTAAATCACAGAAAAAAAATAACAGTTCTTGGAAATCTTGTGGCAAAGCCATGAAAAGTATTTTAAACCTACTTAGGGCTGCACAAGCCAAGGTGACATGCATGGAAAATGGGGAAAAAAGTGAATGAAGCAAGATATTTATATGCCACAGATGTCTGTTAAATATTAAACCAAGTGAGGGATATTAACTGGGTCTCTTATCAACACAGCAGGAGCTTGTCTGGGTTTTTTGAGTTAGGATGCTGACATGCTTGGACCCAAAATCAGGTTATTTGAGTAACCAGGTCAGGGGCAGAGTTTCATGTGTGTGTGTGTGTGTTTTGAAAGCAGCCAAAGTCTTTCATTATATTCTCCCTACGGCACTGCTGGACTGTAGTTGAAGCCATGTGAACCTCTGCTTTACAGGAGGGTGCGGGGGCCCTACAGAGGAGCGTCTGCGCGCAGAGCTCCTGTTGGAGCGACGCCAGAGCGAGGCCCAGGCCATGGCTTTTGAGGAAGAGAGGCACACATGGCAGACAGAGAAGGACAAGGTCATCCGCTACCAGAAGGAGCTGCAGGCCAGCTACTTAGAGATGTATCACCGCAGTGAAGTGCTGGAGAGGGAACTGCACCAGCTGAGGGCAGGCAGAGAGCAAGGAGCAGCAGGAGGAGAAGGAGGAGAAGAGGGGAGCAGAAATGGGACACTGGAAAGAGAAGTGCCAGAGCTGAGGAGTGAGAGAATGGGGGAGAAACAAGAGGACAGACCTTCCTCTGGTTTGCCGTGGATAGACAGGATTGAATCATCTGAAATTTGACTGTGACAGACTTGTTTGCAATGCAAACTGTTTTCTCCCTGAAGTATGGGAGCTATGGAGGACCATGTCTGCCAGGAAAAGGAAAAAAATAGAATCAGCTCACTAAGTCAAAATTATAAAAAAGGAAGTCAAAATTATGACATAAATTAAAGTTTTAACTAAAACAATTTTTTGATAGTTAAAGAAAAATTGATACTGAGATACCAAGTTAAAATTGTGGGTAAATAAAATTCTGACTCACTAAATCAATTTAGTCAAAAATTTTTTTAAAAAATCAAATTTTTGACTTAATAAGTCAAAATTATGATAATAATTCAAATTTTGACCTTGTGTTGAAATTATGAGATAACTAAAAATAATGAAACAATAGGTCAAAATTATGACATACTAAGTCTAAACTATGAAAGTCAAAATTTTGAAAGGTTTGAGAATTATTTTAGAGTTAAATATTTAACTTAAATCAAACACAGCTCAAATTAAGTCAAAAAAGACTAATTATCTCATTATTTTAAAGCAGTGAGTCAAATTTTGTCTTTGAGTTGTTTTGTTTTTTTTCATCATGCGTACATTTTATTTTTCTTCTTTTCTTGGTCAAAATGAGCTTCCATAGCACCTGGCAGTCTCTGCCCATACACCCTTGTTGATTGCTTAATGCCCTTATCCTGCAAAGACTGGACCCATGAGCTCATACAGAAACACAGTAATGCTGAGCGTAGCGGCACAGAAGTACTGTGTCTGTACCTCATCTGTCCTTGGCAGAGGAGTTGTGTCAGTTTTGTATAAAATACAACCTCCAGCCAAGCACCTCGACTGTCAAGCTTAAGACTTCTTTCCAATTATAAATCTGTAAGTGAACAAATTGATATGCTGGTTGTGACTGTTTTGTGTTCATTTGGTAGTTGCTTTTTGGTTGGGACTGCTGTACAGCCTTGGCGGTAAACAAAGGATTCAAAGGGATTTAGTCTGGTCTGGTAACATCTGAGCACCTGTGTGTGTGCAGACGTTCAGGGTTCACCTGGGCTCTGGGAGGAAAGCTGCATCTCTGGGATAAGTATCAAGGATTACAGCTACCTGGTGCAAAGGTACTAATGCTAATTCTTTGCCATCATGAAAACGGTTTGCCCTGCTGAAGAAACTGGAAATGTTGGACTTATTTCTTCTCATTCAGTTTCCTGTCAGGTGATACCAATATATTTTGTACATAAATGTAAGTTTTCATTTGATTGGCCTTCTGTCATTGTGTTCCAAGCACACTCTTGTCTTAAATGGACATACTTCCATATCTTTTGATTGGAATGAAAACGATCAATAGATGCAGATGATGAATATGACTGCCCTGCTTATTGGTGCGATTTGTTGCACATACCCAGCCAATAACATCAAATGCATGACGTAGGTGGAGTTGTTCTCTTCTGTTGTCTATTATTAATATATGAAGGTTCAAAAGCCAGCTCTCAATTGACCTTTCAACATACTGTGACTCTTGTCTGTTTACTGGAATCAAAACTGTACAGTATAAATAAATATATGGTTGTTTTGGATTCATAATAAACATCTATGAAGTGGTGTAACAGCAATTAAGTTGGTGCTTGCCCCAGTGACACTTCAAGTGTAAATCAGGGCTGCATAATGCTTTATAATAGGCTTTTCTGTCTCCTGTAGCTTGAATTTAACTGCTAGAAATCACTTGTCAAAATGTTAGAGGTGTAACTGATGGCATTCACCCAAGGGCTCAGACGCCTGCCTGCTCTGTAGGGGCTTAAAATCTCCACAGAGCGTGCCAATAAAACCCAAGGACGGGAGCTTTATGACAGAATGAACAACAGAACGGCAGAGGCTTTTGGGACTAATGTGGCTTTTAGAGGTTTAGCCTTGGATCCTTATCTCTGCCCCTCCCTAAGGCCCTCCCTGCTCTACCCTTTGCATACCATCTCCTGCCGTACAGACAGCAGAGAGGTGGAAGGTCAGCTGAGATGAAAAACATAGGAGGATCCCTGTTTGCTCAAGAGAATAAACACCTCTATGGAAACCATCAAACCAGAAGAGAGATCCAAGGATATCTTGGCTGGAATTGAGATTTAACACATTACTTTTTCTTCTTTTTTTTTTTAATCTAAATGTGTCATGATTACAGGTATGTTTATTGTGTGATGAGTGAGAAACAGCACATGTAAGTCCGTAACACTGTTGTTTTTTTTGTGTCTGATAATCTGAATAGTTATGAGCTGCGGCTGACTCACAAGGCCCTTACCTTGGCATTTAAAACATTATATAAACTGGGGCTTAATATAACTGCACAGCTCGGGAGAGGTTGAGTGATTTGCTGAAGTGGGATGAGAAAAGATTCTTACCTCATACATGTTATCATCCTGTAGGAGGATTGCAGCGCTGAATGCCATCAGCAAGAATGCCATTTATCTGATGAAGTGACATGATTAATTATTAGTGAATAATTTATTAGTAAAAATGCGAAACTCATTCAAATTAAAAACCTATAATTTGAGATGCAATAGACTTCAGGGCAATTTAGTTCATGTATGGATTATGTAGCACTAGCTCCACCAAGTGGCGATGTAAAAAACAACAAGGGCTGAGCAGCTGTAGTTATGGTAGGAGCAGTCCACCACCAAATGCCAGTACAAGCCTCCAAAACTGACTTGGAGTATAAATTTTTATTTGAATTTCAGATGCAAGTATATGAAACATGTTAGAGGATAAATATTTACAATAAAGGTTGCATAACACACAAAAGCAAGAAATGCAAACATTCAACAAAATTAATACAACAGAAGTACGGAGCGCTAGCAGTCTATCTGAAGGAACACTCAAAGAAGCAATGAATGATTGTCAACCAAAGAAAAACAGAGGAAATTCAGTGAAAGTCCACACAAAACATGTGCTTTAACCCATTCCAAATGAACCCGAAATAAATGTTTATCTTAAACTCTGACTTCAAACTGAGGGTAATGTTGCATTGTCAGTGTGAGCTATGCTGGTGCAGTGCTTGCTGAACAAATTAGCCTCACTCGAGCGTGAGGTGACATCACCATTTTCAAGAGGACACCGGGAACTTGCACTATTAGTATTCATCACCTAAACATATTGTATTGTACATCCAAATGGCTTGGAGTTTGTGACACGCTTTCCCCAAGTGTATGTGTACACATCACCAGTTGAATAATATACACAAACTCCTGCAACACCCAAACTATCAGCCTCAATAATGAAATATGTGTAATCTTTGTTCAAGACTCCTTATATAAAATGTACAACTTTTAATACTAACTGCAAGGTGTGGTATGAACCGTTACAATGAGCCCTGAGGAAATGTATGGATTTTAATGTTTCTATTCTGAGTCGATTTAAAATAAAAGCCAAACCTATTGCAGCAGAGGCATTTTCTAAGTTATATATTAAACAACAGCCACAATGATCAGAGGACTCCCTCCCACTCACGACGAGTAAAGCTGAATCACAAGCCTACAGTCACTGCAAGTCAGACCATACGGCTACCGTCACACCACTTCACATCTCCAAATCACATGGCGTGCAAGCTTAGGAAACACAATGCAGGACAGAGTGAGGCGATGGCACAACCGTGATGCGAACTGTTGAGTCGTTAGTTCTGAAAGTTACGCAGTAGTGTTGATTATGCATGTTGCTCTTCAGTTTAATTTACTATTTTACATGAGCCGTTCTGGCGGTTGCGATGAAAAATAGAAACAAAGCACATTTCACAGTAGTATATATTTTTAGTTTCCTTTTTGTCGTTGTTTGTTAAATACATACATAGAACAAGACAAATGGCTTCTATAATGATGAAAATCTTGCTGGTGCAGTCAGTCACAAAAATAGCTGTTCCACCATTGATGAGTTAGTTAATTGTTCTACTGATCAAATGGATACATCAGCCAACAGTGACTTTCAAGCTACGTGAGGCCTTTATTACATTATGGAGGAGTAATGGGTCACAATCAAAGAGTTCAATTCAAGACACACCTCCACAGTTCCCCTCACCAGCAAATAATAAACCTACTACACAGTTTCTTACTCTGTGGTTTTTGTCAGGTATAATAGAAGTTTATTACCATCCAGAAGTCAAAAACTGCCTATCTATGCCATTTACCCACACTCACCCATCCATAATCATTTAACTGCTTCTGTCAAAAAAAGAAAAAGAAAAAAGAAGCAGTCATCCAACTCAAGCAGTTGATAAAACTGAGAAAACAAACACTATAAAGTATTACATTTTTAAAAAGATAAGCCTATAACTCTGCAGGTATTTGCAAATGAGTTTCAATGAATGATCCTTTTTCAGAGGTGCTTCTTCGTGAAGATGTTCTCTTTATTGACAGACTCCTCACTCTACTACAAGTTGTAGTTGGACCATCTCCGCAGGACTCTGTGTACTACGCAAAGTTGGAGGGTCCGAGGTGGGTTACGGGATGGCCAAGGCTGTCCAGAGGAGCACTGGGATAAAACCTTAATGCTTACAATAACAGGCCAAGAGGCCAGGGACAGAGGAAAAGGGCCAGAGCAAATGGTCCTGGAAATGCAAAGAGCTCCAGGGAACTTCATCCTTACTCATGAGGTGAGTGTGCGGTATCAAAAGTAGATCTGCTTGGCATGTGACGGATTCTGCTCCATGGGGCAGTACGGGCATTTCAACCTGAGGATGAGGAGATCAGGAACAGGATGTTAGAATCATGTACACTTTACATCACTGCTGGTTATTTCCTGTGGCATACTATTAAGTTTTTGGATTCATTTTTTTATGTTCAAGAGAATATTTTTGCCAAGTCTTCCTTGTTGATGATGTCATAGAGATTGTGACATCCACGTTTCGGGGCTTTTTTTTTTTTCCCCCCCCATTGTCCATGCTTCGTAACTGTCTTTCAGGTTTAATTTCCCAACATAATAACACCCACATGCAACACACGCCCAGAAGCCAATTCTCAAATCTTGATTATAATTGCTTCCTTTTTTAAAATTTGGTTGATTAGATGAGAATATTTCATCATGAATGAGGATATGGTCGTTGAATGTTTTAAACCACAACAATATAAAACAATGTGTCTTAAACCTCTACTACCATGTGCATACAAATCTAGCTGCATTTCCAACTTACTTTCCAGCATTGGTCAGCTTGTTGAGGGCGTCTCTGGAGATGACGTGGCCACAGATGAGCTTCATGGGAGGGTTGCTCTCTGAGGTCTGCTGCCGAAGAATCGGGCAGGCGAACACAGAGTGGTACCAGCACTTCTTTCCAAGGTCAATTTCAATCTAAATGAACAGAGAGGCAGAGAATTAAGTGAATGCTGAAAAAGAATGAAAGGTCATGTCTTCTGGAAATTCAAAAGGGACTCACAGGTAGCTCATCTTTGTGTGTCCAGACTCCGCTGCACTGTCTCTGCTCTATCACCTGCTTGATGTTCATCAGCACTGGTAAAGCCATACAGCCTGATGCAAAACTGCAGAGAAATAGACAATGTTGACATACTTTGACTGCAGCTGTAATATTTTAAGCACACAAGCTTAAATAATACAACATGGGGATGACAATGCAATAACATTTTCTATCCTTCATCTTGAACTGAAAAAAATGTACTAACTGTTTCAACTTTAGCCTCAACTTTGGTAGAAATCTAAACATATTAAAAGGAGATCAGGGATGAGGTCTTGTGTATAGTTTTCTGACCTAACACTTAGTGGAGACTCTACAGAGAGGCCCAGTAAAGCGCAGGCATCTCTGGTGAAAATGTTACAGATCTCTGCCCACTGATTTGTCTCGAGCAGACTGCGGTACGGAGAGTTCTCAATGCCATGACGCAGATACACCAGACTACCCATCAGGATCTGGATATCTGAAATGACAAAAAAGTACAGGGGTGGGGAAAAAAACAAACAACATTACATGAGTAATCTGAGGTAGGCCTCATAATATTTTGATATTTGCTATTATACAAATCCCGAATCATTTGCAGGGTCTCTCCTGAAAAGAGTCAGAGCCTCAAATTCTTTCACATTAAAAAGAAACACATCTAAAGTTCACATCTTTGTGTTTTTGTGTCAGGAATGTCACTAAGATTATGTCTCTGTATTGTACTTACCTCTCTGGTGCTGAGAGGCGAAGGGCTGAAAATGTCTGGCATACTGCAGGGCCTCCATTTGGTTGCTGATTCCTCCGCTGAGCAGACTGATGAAGTACAAGCGGTGCAGCTTGAACTCTAAACTGCTGTTCAGGTCGAGAAGGCGCTGCCGATTCGTCACGGCCCACCTGAGAAGGGCAGACATGAACAGGTTTATGTCAACACACTTAAAAATGCTGAACACTCTGAAGTGAGTGCTTTATCTCTGCCAGATTGTGAAAACAGTCAAATCAGTTTATTTACATTTTTGAAAAAGCTGATGAATAAGTAAATACAGATAAAAGGTAAATAATAACATACTCTAGTGCCGGCCTGAGGTCCTGCATCCTCAGAGCTTCAAGGATCCTGTTAAGCTCCAGAAAAGGCTGCTTCATACTCATATCTATAACTACACCAGACTCCTAGAAAACAGACAATGGTATTTTGGTGAAGAGCTATTCCCACAATTACCTTGACAAAAACAAGGATTACATAAAATCTGATCTCTTCAGAGGGAAGTAATCACACCTTTCAGGTATGTTTACACCAAAAGCATTAGATTGAAGGTTTCAGTCATTTACCTGACACAGATCCTCTGCTACACTGAGCATTCCTTGTCTGTACAGGTGCTCCACAATGGTCTCACTTAAGTATTTCTGTCTCTCTGGTGTGTCCCACACTGTCTCTGCCACCACAGCACTGATTTCTGCATCAAAATTCTGTAGAGAAGCATGTCAGATATGATGTTTGTGTATATGAAATGTTAAGTGTTAAAGAAAGTTGCCACCTGTCCTTACTCTGTCAATGGCTTTGCCCACTTTTGATACACTGCCATGGATGTCCTTATGTCGAGAGGCTAGCATCTGCACTGTTTCTTTGATATTCTTACAACATTGGGCCATAGTCTGAGATAAGACTGATAAGTCTGCATCTTGTACTCCTGCAAGAGAGAAAAAGGACAAGTTTTCACTGCATTATAAGTTATGATGAACAAAGAAGCGTCCATTTTAGTTTATGATGGGAGAAAGAAATTTAAACTGTCATAAAACTAAGATTTAATTCACTTAACTTATACATATTGTATCTTAATAGTGTTCTTTCACCTTATTTATCTCAGTTTTTCTTACCAAAGGCAACTAGCTGTCCTCGTATTTCACAGACACTGCGCAGGAGCTCATCTAGCCTCTCCTCAGACTGGTGTCCGTACATTACAAAGCGATGGAGCACTTTCTCCAGCTCCCGCTCGACACATGCACACTGTTCCATGGTTCAGACTGGAACTCTCACACACACAACACTGACACCTAGATTTAAGAGAAAAATCAGAAAAGTAGTTTGTTAAGTTATTAATATAGCCTGACTGATGCTGGATTCCTCATGTATTTCAATATTTTAGATTTTGATAACAATATATATGCTGATGTTCATTATTTTGGGGGCTACACTTTCATTAAACATTAATCTGCCAGTTATTTCCTCAGTGAATCAGAATGTTGGGCAAAATTTCATTTATTCCTAAAGCCCAACATGTCTGACAAGTATCTATAAACCCAAAGATATTACGTTAAAGATCACACAAGACACAGAAAACCTCACCTATGAGCAGCTGGAACAAGGTAATGTGAGGTAAATTTTCTTGAAAAATAACAAAGATGACTGATTGATATCTAAAATACTTAAGCATAGTTTTTACCTAAATACATGAAATAATCATTTTAAACAGGAATCCTTCAATTTTATCTCTAAAGAATTGTGACCAAGATGTGTGCTAAGCAGGACCATTCAGAGTTGAAAAACAAACTTGGCAGTGGTAAATAATAAAACTGTGTTTCTAGACTATCTCAAAGATATCTTTTGCATATCTGAACAGCAATTTCCTCTCAACAATCAGCCAACACACATGCCAATACTGGTATACCAGCCCAGTTGATGTTTTGATCAGGCTCCAATTATTGATGTTATTGTTTTCTCTTCAGTGAAGTGTGTAGTTTGCAGACGTTTGTAGTTTGCTGCAGCGGTTCCAACACAAACTGTAAAATGTACAAATTTGTACTGTGGACCTATTAAAAGGATGTGGGATCCCTTTCCATTTTTTCAGTGGCACAAGCAAGTGTTTGATGAAACTGATACAATACAGACAATACCATGACTGTCACACAGTTGTCACCGGCGCTGGGGTACAATGATGCGTGAAAAGGCCTTTGACAGCTGGTCAGCAGTCGATTTTTTTTTATCGGGATAAGAAAAAAAACGAACCTATCCTGTACTGCCCTGATTAAAAGTTTGGCCTGGTGTGACACTGCTAACAACTAGCAAGGCCCTAACATGATGAGAAGCAGGCACCCTGTGTACTCCGCGGCCTGGTGTTTACTAACGTTAGTCGTGCTAGCGTCACAGCCATACAAGTTTGGTTTTATCAAAGGGTATCAAACTAAAACGCTCAGGGATTTTTTTGGGGCAGCTGGGCCGCATTCCCCCGTTATTACTTTATTATTTAAAAAAAAAAAATCATTATAAAAAATAATAAAGCATTATTAGGCATAGCTTTGCTTTAACTAACCGCTTGTGAGCTGAACACAGAAAATGTCCACCTACCGTAACAGAGGTAACCAACATTCACGCAAGCTGCATTTGTGTTTCAATGATGAAATACCATGTTTCGAATTTTTATTACTCTATAACAATGATGAACATGAATCGCCACAAGTTGCTAAACATGTATTTTGATTCGATCCAGTGATTTTAGAAAATTAAGCTGTCGCAGAGCTAACATAAACAAACGCTATCACAGTCTCTAGCTAGCCACAAAAGCTCGCCATTGCTAGCAGCAAGCTAGCTAGTTGATGTTAGCCTGCTGCTCACTGACAAGGCCCAAAAAATTTCAGGAGAGAAATGACAACCGGCTATTTTGTATTATTCCTACACTTAAAACATATATCGCCGTTTAACTGAATTTTAAAATATGTTTAAATAAACACCACTTACCTATCGTGCTAATTAGTTAGCAAACATTAGCGTTAGCCACTTGCCTGTTATGGCAACACTTCACCAGCAGTCGTAATGCGCAACTTCCTGTGTCGCATTCTGCCTTAACTGGTCATTTCACAATAAAAGTCATTTTCCCTGCGACATCCGAGGTTAGTAGCGCCCAGTGTGATTTTCAATTGAATCAGATTTATCTCTTGCACAATGGAGTTTCGCAGCTGTCACAACTCATCCCTTGCAGGTTGGCACAGGAGATTGATGCATCAAAATGTTAACACAATTTTAATGTTGTAGCTGGTAAAGGTAGAGCTGATTTTTGTTTTATGTATTCTTGGGTAGTTTTCTCTGAAACAAATGCAATGAATCATATTTAAAGTCGATCTGCTTTGAAGTCTTAATCTACAATGTAACTAGGGAGTACTGCAGTCAAATCTATGTAGTAGAGTAAAAACTACAACATGTCCTTCTGAAATGTAGTGAAGCAAACGTATAAAGTAGCATAAAATAGAAATATTAACTCAAAGTACAAGTACGTCAAACTTTGTCCATCACTGATAACCAAAAAAAATAAACGATAAGTAATATTAGAAGTGTGGCTTGCGGAGAGCTTGGTCACGAAGAGCTAATCACATCCTAAAAGAGCAACTAGGTCAGTTCAAAAAAGATAGATTTGAAATGTGATCTTATGTTTATATTCTTTCTGTTTGTCATGCATACTAGCACTTAAATAACCCATCATGAGACTTGACCCTTGTTGACCATCATAGCCCCCAGATTGAGGCTCAGCAGAAAAAGCAGTCGTGTTTATTTATCTTCGCATAAGGAAGTGCTGTGCCATGCATCATTTGCACAACATGTGGACACTGAACATCAGCCTCTCTGCCAAGTCCCTTTGTTGTAGGTTTATACATTCGTCCACGTACAGATGCCCATGCAGCATATTGTTTATGCACAGCTTATTGGTGTGTTGCATTGCTAAGGGTGAGGGTGGGTGAGGTCTTTGGACTTGAGCAGGCTGCATGACTAATCTATCAGTGATGTAGACTAAAGCTCCCCATTGCTGAGGTGCTCATCATTCTTTCCCTTTGAGTCTTCCTCCAGTCTGCTGTGCTGCCATAACCGCAGAGGTTCAAATTTATCAGCACTTCTCTACACTTAAGTTTGTACTCTCTCATAACCAGCACACGCATATGCACTCACATATGCATGCATGTCATCCTCTGCAACCTTTGCCAACGTTATTGTTCTCAGAGGCCATGTTTTACACTTTTTACATTTTTCCCAGGTGATATCAACATATATTTACAAAACATAATGAAATAGTGTACACCAGTTTACTGTATGAGCTGTAAACTGACTATATGATCCATCTTCTCTATGGTACCTGTTAAGAGTTCAGAGGAATGATGATCCATGCTTGTCATGCCATTGGAGCCTCCAGTGAAATCTGAAATCACTTACAAGATATATTTGAAAGTGGATCTGGAGTCCATTAACACTAGTCTATGTTAAAAAAAAAAAGAAAAAAAGAAAGATATATGTCTGTTGTATAGCTCTGTGAGTAGAGCCATATTGCTATCACTCTACCAAGGTCAAAGACCCAGTTCCCATTTTGGCAAGCCACACTAAAAATGTGTGCAATGTATGACTCTTCAGACAGAAGAGAGGGCCAAATTACATATGCATGATGCCATACATAAAATAGCTTGTTGACTTTCCAGTGTTGAGAACAATCTCTCAACCCCTTGATATTACAGATATAATATACCCTTAGTGAGAGCCTTATGCAACATTCAGTCAGGGCTGCAATCAAAGATTTTCCATTGGCTTGCTCTGAATGACTTAATGACTGAGAATGAATGGTAATCTCATGAGGTATTAGGTTAGGGACAGAGGGCTTATCCAAACTCACTACCATCAAACATGCCCAGACAGTCTCATTGTGGCTCAGAGAGTACTGCTATTGTAGCAACAGTAATACATACAGTAAATGACATGACCGCTTTTGTTTTGACACTTTTGATCATACGCTTGTCATGTGTTGACAGGCAAGCTTGAATATGAATTTAAAACAAACATTTTTAAATAAGATAAAATGAAAATTAGTGTTCCTAGAACACAGAATATTCAGACATTAAACGGAAAAACATGACTAGAAACATGTGAGAGGACCTTACCAATGTTATACAAGTGTTGCTACCTAACATGCAGTGCGCAAGAATTTTGCATGTGAGCTGTCAAAGTCGGGTGGTCTATGTTAACCTTTGACCTGCTGTGCCCCAGCCACACCGTAGCATTCACAGACACATACACACACACACACACACACACACACATATATATATATATATATATATATATACATATATATATACATACATACAAGTATACATCAACTGTCAATGATAAATATAACCTCATATGTAGTGGTCAAGTGGACAATGTGTGGGCTGTACTTGGAGCTCGGTATTTCCCCTTTCTTTCCCACCAGTGTGCCCAATCAAACAGCTAACGCTATGGCTATCTGGCCCTGATAGTATAGGTCTATATATAGAGGGGCCCTGTGACTGAGCTGGCTCTAAGTGTCAAATTCCAGGCACACTCATCTATCCTGGCTGGATCAGCACCTGCTGCTAACTATAAACCCACCCACCCCCAGCGCTGCACCCCAGGCTTGCTCACACTGGAAATCCAATGCTCAACCAAACTCCAGTCTGGAGAAGAAAAAGGATCCAGGTTAGATTCAGTAAGTGCTTTCCCTGAGGCCAGCTCAAAAGGGAGGGGCAGAAATAGAGATGGGAGCATTAGAGGATGTAATGTGTCCGAGCGAGATGCCCCTCTTTGCTTTTTCTATTCAAGTCTGATACATAGCAATGCCTTTGACATTCTGAAGTGGTCCAGCCAGTGTGGCACTGCCAGACTGAGCTGTGCGGAGCTGCTTAGTCCTGGATTCGGCATATGCACAGAGGTCTTGTAAACGTGGGAGTGTGCTGTGGATTTTGAGAGGCAGTTCACTGGATGAGGGGCAGATATTGCAACACAGAGGAACTCAATGCCCTAGGGAAAGCCTCATCATTGGCCAAAGGTACAGTACCAATCAGTCTGTCTTTCTGTACTTAAGCATTGAGCAGCCTTTCTTTCTCTAGTCAGTCCTACACCAAGGCAATAAGGAAATCTTAGATAAAGGGTATGTATTGGGCAGAGCTAATGCAATATTATCACTTTCCAAATATCTAAGATGAATAAATCTCAGTCCTTGCAATGTAGAATAAGTTGCACTTCATATACAGCGTAATGTCTTTATGAAATCTTGTTTTTAAGAACACGTGGAAATGCACAAAATTTCTGGCATGTGACTAACCTTTTTGTCAGCTTAAAGTGAATGTTTATTATATTTGTGTTAATTTCAGGTTGCTTCCTACTGCTTTTTAAGGCATAGTGACAGAGTTATATTTATGTTCTGAAACCCTTTGGGGGTTGCAGGTATTCTCAGAATATTTGAGGTTTAAAAAATACATTTACTGTTGGCAAACAAACAAAACAGAAACAATACACACATAGCTTCTATATTTATGATTTATACACTTTTTCCCGTCAGTGATATTCATCAAATGTTACTTGTGGTATAAATGAATGAGATACACACCCTCCAGGTGACCATATCTTATTTCCAGTCCAGGAACAGAGCCCAGAGCAGACTAGAGGATCGGACTGGACTGGCCACAGTGAGAATTTGGAGCTTGTGGACTAGCGATGGACAGCTGGACTCTCCAGGGGGACAGCTACTCCTTCCTGCGCAGCGCGCCCCGCACTTTTTCCCTGTGCCACCGTGACGGCACCCCTAACCACGTTGAAATCTTTGACATCATCAACGTCCCTACTCAGCGCAGTGCCATCTCCGAGACCACTTGCCTGTGTGACATTTTTGGAGACGACTGTGAGTTGCCCTCCCACTCAAGCGGCCCTGCTGTAGGGGCCTTTGTCCCTTCTCAGAGGGAGGTGGACGGGACATCTGCTGCATCACCCCTGGTGGATGATCTGAACGACTCAGGCTCTTACCACACTGCACAGGGCTCCAGTGAAGGAGAGGAGGGCTTTGAAGATTCAAGAGAAAGGCTTTACAGCCCCCTGTCGCAGAACGAGTCTGCAGAGAGGAGGCAGTCAGAGGGCGAGGGACTCAGCTCAGGGCATCCAGACAATTTTGAGGACAGTAGCCCAAATTTAGAACCAAAAAGCAAATCACCGGTACCTCAGCTTAGTACACCTAGCCCACCACCTGAAGTCCTCGACACCGGTGAGAGGACCCCCTCTCCTGGACATAATAGCTCCTATACCATCAGTCCAGAGGGAAGAGTATCATCCTTATCTTCTTCCTCAGTTGAAAAGAGAAGTTCACCATCATCATCTAATCCAAGTCAAACTCATTCAGAAGCTGAACCAGGGAGAATCACTCCTACCTTCAAAGACAGATTTAACAGCCCCTCACATCAATCGTTAACTCCAAGTCCCTCCTCTGAGCCTAGGAACTGTGTCAGCTCATCCTCCTCTGTATCAGTCAACACCCAGTCTTCACCTGAGTGCAGGGGAGCACAAAACTCACCTGAGCCAAGCAGCAGCTACATTTACAAACAGAGCAGTCCCTCACCCAAAGAGTTCTCTCTAGATTTTACAGAATCAGCCACTCCTTCATCTCCTCTACCATCACGCAGTAGTGCAGAGTTATCATCCCAGTCAACAGAAGCATCGGCCTCCCCTAATCTGCAGAATAGGCCCTACTCGCCCGATACTCAAGCGTCATCTCCTTTTCCTGAGCTAACAGGGAGGGTCTCCCTGCCTGATCTTTTCAGCATAGGCTCCACACCTGATATAGAAGAGCCTCCCTGCTCTCCTGAGCTGATTTCAGATCCTTCTGCTGCAGGAGCAGACACCACAGCTACTCCTGAGAATCAAAACTCAAGGTTATCAGTTGAGGCAGGCAGCACTGCTTCTACACCTGCCCCACGATACACACCTCCCTCACCTGTCATTTCAATATCAACATCTCCCGAGCTCGTGGAGAATAGTGTCTCCCCTGAACTGGGACACACAGCTCCCTCACCTGGCCTGCTCAGTGCTGCCTCTCCAGCTAAGACAGGGACAAGAACTCCCTCTCCTGCTTCCTCGCCTAAAATAAGACACATTTCACCACGTTCTGAAATCAGCACCCAGGTGCCTTCCCCTGTGGTGAGTTATAGTTTATCTCCATCACCTGAAGTCAGGAGCAACTGCTCTCCAGTAGAGCACAGACACACTGCTCCCTCACCTGAAATCCGGATTACAGCATCCTCACCTGAGCTTCACTTTGACACTGCCTCATCAAGAAGCTTCACTTCATCCCCTCATATCACAGGGATTTCATACACTGTTGTCCAGCCCGACGACAGGGACACTCCCCCGTTTCCTGAGCTCTGTCGTCTTTCCACCCCTGAGCCTGATAGGACAGCTGTGTCCCCTGAAGCAAGCAGCCCTACACAAAGTAGAGACAGTACACAGGGCAGTGTAGCAGAGTCCACTGGTACACCGCGAGACTCGCCCCATATATCGGGCTTCACAAGCCCCGTTCTGCAGCCTGAACTAACTTTGTCGCACCCACCCAGGTACCAAACACCTTCACCTCAGCCAAAGCATCACACTCCCTCACCTGAGCCGAGATATCAAACCCCTTCACCTGACAAGCATCAAAGTCCCTCACCTCAGCACCTCAGGAGTAGGGACCCATCACCTGTTTCCCCTTCTCCTGAGCAGATTTCACCTGTAACCCTGTCCACAGAGTACCACCCTCAGTATACACATCCTTCTCCTGCTCTGAGAAGTACACCTGAATTTGAGAGAGATTCCTCCTCAGCTGACATTGCAGAAGCACAGTGCCCCGAAAATTTGGTAAAAGACAACGTGTCACCCTCATTTGAATTAAACAGGGGAGACAAATCAGTTCTTGCTGAAATCAAAAGCAGTTCACCAGTGGTCGCAGATTGTTTACCTGACTTTACTTCACCTTTCTCAGCAGAGGAAAAGATAGAGAGTTCACTTAAGCAACAAAGCACAGAGAGAGAAGCAACACCAGAGGAACTAAACATTCAGGTTAACTCGAGTTTAGCCTCCTTTTCTGAGGAAAAACAAGACACCGGCCATAGCTTTTTTCAGAAAGAAGACACTTATAATAATCCCCCTATTGAAACCAAGCCTCTTTCCCCTAATCTTCCAGTCCCTAAGGACAGGAGTCCAACCATTTCACCTGTCCACAGGGCTACACCTGACTCACCTGTGCAGAGACTCGAAAACCCACAGCCCCAGTTCACTACTTATTCCCTAACTTCTGACAACAGCAGCTCATTAAAATCAGCTTGCACACCTGAGCCCTCAAGAAGACATCTGTCAACCAAAGTTAGACGTGAAAACAGAGAGAGGTTGACCGAGGACATGGCCCACCATGTAAACAGAAGGCGGACTCCTTCTCCGCCACTTACCAGGTTTACACCTGTCCACATCATAGCCCCTGAGAAACCATACAGACAGTGGCAGAACAGAAGCCGCAGCCCCTCTCAGGTTGTAGCATCCTCACCAAGTGGTAATTTAAAAAAAGCAGTGACAAATAGGGAAAGCCCCAATGTTGCCCCTGTTGACAATAATAGCCAGTCCCACTGGGTCAGACTAGGGGGGCAATTGGAGATGGAGAGGGAAATGCAGCTGGAGGAGGAGAGAGAGGCAAGCAGGGAGAGGCAAAGGGATAGGGAGATGGAGAGAGAGAGAAAGAGGGAGGAGCGGGTTCCCGAAAAGGGGGAGGGGTGGCAGGGGGACGCCAGTAACAGAGGGGAACAGGTTGAGCTGTCATTCAATGCCAGGAATAGAAAAGGGCCTGCAAGTCGCAGCGCAGCTCCCACAAGCAGAGAGACTCGTCAGGGACTGCCAACAGCGCATTCCTATTCAGAGAGCTTGCTTGCTACCAGACAGCTACAGCAACAACAGAGTCTTCTGAGACGTGTTTCCCAACAAGACACAAGGGGTGGTGGTCCAAGCAGACGGCTTCAACCTCCTGCACACCAGAACAAGAACAGTGCTCCTGGACGCGTGGCTGCGAGCAGGCCCTGCCGGAGTTCCAGCTCCAGCATGGGAAGTGAGCTTGATGAGGCAGATAATGAGGTGAAGTGGTTTACAGACTTGGCTTTCCGCAGTCTGTCAAGCCCTGAGGTAGACTACCTTGACATGTACAACTCCAGCCACCGTTCATCTACCAACATTTCTCAACCATCTACCCAGGAGAGCCCTGCCGGGGTCAATCCCGCCTGGCCGGCCTATGCCGACTTCAGGGGTTCTGCTCCAAAGCTGGACAGTGATGAACCGTCCTTCCAGCAATCATCTGCATACTACTCAGACGGCCTAGATCCATCAAGGCGCTATGAGATGGGCAGTTTTGAGTGCGTAGATGTGGCCGTGGAAAGAGAGGACTCCAGGAAGGTGAGAAGAGGAGTGCCGAAGAGACAGATCCAGCTGAAGAGAAAGAACAACGCTGAAGGGAAGCAGGATGAGAGTAGTGAAAATAGTAGTCCTGGGATACCTGTGATGATGGAAAGCCCATCTCCTCCAAAGAGTCACTCCAGAGAGACATTCATGAGACAACACAGTACACCAGCAGCAACGCAAGCTTGCTACCCCTCTGAGCGTAGCCCTGAGCCCAATCAAAACAATGCAAGACAATGCAAACTCCAGAAATCCGCCTCCCTGGATGAGACATGCTCTAAAACTAAGATGGCCACTTGTCTCATCAAGAGTGTGTTGTCCAAGAAGATGCAAAGTGTTGATAAACAAAATGATGAGCAGGCAGAAGAAGTGAGTCCTGCTTTTGAGGAAAACAGCCCACCAACAGAGAGTGCAGTGGCTCCACTGAAAGTGTCCCCAAAACCTGACACAAATAGTCTGAGTTCCAGTCTCCCGTCAGATTATGGTCTTTCCTCTGAGGGCTTTCTTGTGCGAGGAGAACCAAGCACAAAGGATGAAGTCAAACCACCAAAAAGCTTTGGAGCGAGATCCAGTAACAGGCCAAGTTCATCCAGCAGCAGCAGAAGTGTAAATTTTTCACAGACTGACAGTGAAGAAGCTGATTCCCAGAGCAGGAATGCAACCTCATTAAAATCTGAAATGAGATCAGAATTTAAAATGCCACTTGATAGTAAACAGTCCACAACTTTAGTACAACGAGCAGATGACATTAAAACATGGGACGAAAGGGAGGGTGGTGACTCAGCAAATTCCACTGCCGGGAACACAGGAGCTCCTTCTGCCACCGGAGCCAGCAGCACGCAGGCCAGGATGAAAAACAGAGACCAGGAATGTGAAAACACAGAGGACCATAAACAACTGCAACAGGGTGACAAGGGCGCCTGCAAGTCAAAAACACAGGAGATTACACTCAAAGCCGTGGAGAAAAAGAAAGCCTCTCTAAGTGTCTGCCTCACACCTGAGGCAGAAAACAAGCCTGAGGCTTCCTCACCAGAAATATCTTTCCAAGAAAAGGACGACAGCGTGGAGACCAGTGTGGATGAGAAAGCAGAGGGAGACGAAGGCAATGGCAATAATAAAGTTAAGGCCCCCATTCACAAAGTTAGAGATGTCAGGCGGCTTGTGAAAAATACATATAATCTGTCTTTCAAGGCAACTAGTGCTGTAATGCCATCAGATGTGAATGAAGAGAGGAAGGAAATATTTAATGAGGAAAAGAGGGATGAAGTAAAAGAGGAAAGGAGGAAAGAGATCATAGCAGGGCAGGAGCGGGAAGTGAGGCAAGAAATGAGGACGGATAAGAAGAGAGAGGAAAGGGAAGAGGAGTACAGGGTGGAGAGGAAAGTAGAACAGAAAGAGGAGGTAAAAGATTCAAAGCTGCTGACCTTCTCTCCGCCTCCTCAAAGCAAAGAAAAGCCACTGTCTCGTCCACAGCCAATGCAAATAGAATACAAGGCCGTTTGCTGGAAAGAGGACAAAAATAAAACGTCATGCAGCAAGAAAGATTCAGAAAACCCAGGTGATAAATCGCAGGCTTCTCCAGAGCTTGTCACTGAGGTAAGCAGAGAATCACAAAAGTCCTGGACTACAAACACACAGAGTTACACAACAGGAAACACAGCAATTTCCAAGCCATGTCACCATGATCTAAAAAAGGCAGCAGAAAAACAAGAGGCTGCGGCAGAGATGCAAAAAATTCCAGACAAAGAGGGCGAAGCTGTGGTGGTTAGAACGAACAGAAAACCTCCCATGCTCGGAAGCCTCCCCAAACTGCCCAGTAAGGAAAGAGAGGTGTCCACTGCTGTAGTGTTGATAAGAGATGGATCCAGCAAGACCAAGGCATCTGCTTCTCCAGCCCAGGAAGAGATTCCTAGCCCGGTCCAAGTCCCAGGTGCTTCACTTTCACCTGGGCCCACTACCCCCGGCAGTACCCCTAGCAGCAGTGGCCACTCAGTTTCCATGTTGTTGAAAGAGAAAGGCTACCAAGCAGATATTGGAGCAGTGGTGGGCGACGGTCAGAACGCGGCTGGAGGGAAAGGGGCTCCCCGTAAGCACGTGAACTGTCTGGAGATCCCCCTCCAGACCACAATGCCTTCAGAGGGTGGGCGAATCGAGTCTCATAGAGAGAGGACATTCTCCTCATCATCCACCACATCTGGCCCCTCAGCAGTGTCTGAAAACACAGGCAGCCTTACAAAGACCACAGAGGATGACAGAGTTTGCATTAAGCCTACAATAAAAGACACTGGAATACAAAAAAGTGCTCCTCCACTAAGGAATACGCAAGAACAAACACCACCCCCCACCAAACAGAAGGATCTAGGGGATTTTGAAGCAGTGAAAAGAGTAGATCCAACTTTCCCCCCAAGGTCCCCTGCAGTAAGGAGATTCAGACCACAGCCAATTGAGGTTAAATCACTGTCTAAAGACACACAGAAACAAGAGAAGCCTGCAAACTCCACAGGAACCAGCAGGCCTCAAACCATTGAAGTTAAATCTATAGCTAAAAATTCTCAAAAGCCAACTGTGCCTCCGAAACCAAGCTGCAAATTTAAACCTGCAGATTTAGCAACAATGCCAAACGAAGCACAGAGACTGTCAGCAACAACATCGACTGTAAAACCACAAGGTGAGGAGAGGTCTCAAACAATTGTCGTGTCCTCACCAACCATCTATAGAAAGATCTCCAATGAGTCCACATCAACATCAAACTATACAAGAAAACTAGCTGTGTCTGCAGTGTCCAGCCTCAAACCTCCACCTAGCAAAACAACAGCAACCACCATCTCCAATCAAACATCAAACCAGTCAACAGCACCATCAGAGACAGAGGTATCTAATGACAGAGGGCAGCAGCAGCAACCAGCAGCCTCGCCTCAAAGCTCCAGGTACACACAAAGACCTACAACCTTAGCTCCAACATCAGCCACATGCACAGGTTCAACCTCAGCCCAAGGTCCAGTTCCTGAGCCAATAGCAAACCAAGTCACTGGACCCCCCTCAGCTGCAGCCAACGAGCCAAGCCAGCCAGCTGTTATGGATCCAGACAGCCAACCACAGTATCCCAGGATGGCATACCCTCATGAACAAGCTATGACAGTAACTTCAAACAACACAAAACAACCCGCTGCTGTTCCCACAACACAAGTGCCAGGATACACACACCAGCCATGCCGCAGATCACTGTCCAGTGAGCGCCGCCAAAGGACAGATGACCTGTGTTTTTATGCCTCAGATGACCCTCCAAGCTACGATGAAAGAGAGAGCTTCAGTCCCCTCATGCTCCCAGATCTGACTCCCAGGAGGTCTAATCACTATCAGCCCGCCTCCCGCCCTCCTCCCTGCTCCTGCACAGCTGGCTGCCCTTCCCACCCTGGTCTCACACCTCCTCACCATCACCGCAGCCCCCATACTCTCACTCCTCCTGCCCCACCACACTCTCCAGGCCAGGCATTACCTTACCCGGTGGCTCAGCCCCCTCTTCGTCCCCACCAGTGCAGACCTGACCCTCAGCCGATGAGCTACCAGCCCGGCTCTCCCAAATCAAGTCCTCTTGGTCCAAACCAGCCACCGGCATTATACCAACCTCTCCACCAGCCTCCTCCCTGCCCTCCCCACCCCTCACTCATGCAGGCCTGCACTGCTGAGCGGCCGTTGCAGCCCCCTCAGCATATTGACTCTCGACGACCCCCTGTACACAGATCCCCCCAGCAGCAGCCACCAGGCATGGCTGGGGCTCCTTACAGTGATCCTGGCCACAGCCACTCTCCTGGCCTTCCTCCTATTGATCCCCAGTACTTGTGTGGCGCTCAAAGCCTGGGGCCTTCCTATGGCTCTGAATATGGGGGTGACAGCTCCAGTTTGTACTCAGAGAGTAACTATGGACAGACACCTCGCAGAGTGCTCCTAGATCCTGAGACTGGGAAGTATTTTTATATCGAGGTGCCTGTACAGCCACTGAGGAAAATGTTGTTTGACCCAGAGACAGGCCAATACGTGGAGGTGCTCATCCCACAGCAAGCAATGTCACATTCAGGCCTGTATCCTCCCTCAGCAGCCCCTTACCCATCCCTCCACAACCCCAACATGTACGCCCCAGCGCCACAGTACATGCCCTATGCAGCTCCACCTCCCCCAGCCCACCCACAGGCTCAGCCCCAGCCACCCCGCTATCCTGAGGCCTCTGCTGCAGCAACGATGCACCCAAGTGGGCCTGGGGTCAGCTACAGGAATCACTCTGGTCAGGGGTCCAAGCCAGAGCCCCAGAACAATCCACCGCTGGACCAGAGCTACCTGGAGAGTATGTATTATGTCCCTACAGGGATGAATGCAAGCCCCAATCCCACCCCACCAGACTATTACCACAAACATCCCCCCAACCTACCCCCAGCAGGGGGGAAAAGGTCCTGAAATAGAGGATAGAGGCCGCCTTCCTGGAGCCTGTTGGGTTTTAAATAAACAGTGTATAAAGGGGGTGTCTAATGTTAGCCTGTACTGTTATTTGAGTTTTCACACTGCAACTGAAGACAGCGATTCTTTGGTTGTTGTTTATTTGCTGCTGTTTGTTCCATGCTAGGCTGCTTTAATAGAAAGAGATGTATGATTCTTGAGGTTTTTTTTGACAACACAAGAGCGTAAACCTTTTCCATGAGGTGTTCTTAAGATGACTGCCTAATTTCAAAATGATCTATTAAAACGTTTGTCATTTTTGATACAGGGTTATAACATCATATTGTAACTTCACCTGTAATAAATGCACAGGCACTATAAATCAATAGGTTTACTAATTTACTGATGTTTGTACTTTAATAACAAATATCTCCAAAAAAACTTGAAAATACTGTTTTAAAAGAGCCTCATATTTATTTTATTATTGTTTTCCTCTAATACTGGATGAGTGAGTTTGTGCACATGATCTATGCAACAACAGTGCCAATAAAATGTATCACATATCACATTGCTCTTTTTTCAAGCCTTAATCTATTTTTCTATAGATCCTCTCTAGAGTTCAATATCTCAGCATTTACTGGTCAGATCATGTACTGTGAGTAAGGTGTTAAATACTGGAACTTCTTTTGAAACTGTATTGTTTTCAGAATGCATCTATAATGCATACAATCTACTGCATTGTTTTCAGGAAAATATTGTGATGCATTACAAAGTCAGTGCTTTTCATAATCAAATAAAGCAAGCAGCGAGAGATCCTGCTAGAATGGAAAATACAATTTAGGTAATGAGTATAAAGATTAATTTTGACTGACTCTCCATAGGCAAGTGTCACACAGGACATGTGCACAGACACTGTTTCCACTTGGTGTTGACATTGGTGTCAATGTCGCCAAATTAAAAAGGCATGCAATGTGGGTTACATTAAAGCAAGTACTGGTTTTAACAGTCGATTAAACATGCTGACTTCTGATTGTAACAAAAGATGCAGAGACTTTGGTGATAAAATGCACAAGAATTATTAGTTATTGCTAGATATTATAAGCATAATTTGTTAAATATTGGCCAATTTGAAACCTCTCTCTGCCTTTAGAGGGCGCTGTAACAAAGTGCTCCTAACAAAGTGCAACAGCTATCAACCCCATTTTATGATCGCCACCATGGGGGTTTGGTATTGATTTGGAGTCACTAGGTCACATGACATGAAAGTTACTGAAGACAAATTATTACCTCACCATGACTTTTGGAGGACAGAGACAGCACTAATATTCAGAGTGAAGAGGTGCTCCCAACATGCACAGGCTATTGTGAATTTGTAGCAGCACATTGTATCACTGTGGCCACTGGAGGGTGCCACAGACCAGTACAGCAGCTGAAGAAGTCCCATCCCAAAGGTATCCGCTAACCTTTCCGTGACAAGACCCACTGAAACACAATATGGTGATTTTCTAATCAGAACCTGGCCCTGTAAACTGAAACCAGAGCCTAATTTGTTAGTCCAGAGGGACAAAATTGGCCTCCCCTTTCTTTGATGTGGATGGCAGTAAAATTAATGAGAGGTCTGACCAGTTGCTATGAGGGGCTTTAGTGTGTATGTGTGTGGTTGTGTGTCTGTGTGTGCTTGCGGATGTATGTGTGTGCGCCACAGTGGAAAAAGCACCGTTTCATCTGTGAGAGGCAACTCATAGCCTTACAGGAATTCAAGAGCGTGTTCATTCACATCTGGAGGGGATATCACTCTGCAGCACCTGGCAAAAAGTGTACACTCTCTATGTATTACCAGTGCGCGCTAAAACAAACTTCTACTTCCACAACTCTTTGTCATCAGTATTGTCTACCGAGCCAGAAGTGATGCTAGGATGTCCCGCTCATTTCACTCAGGAGATAGATGCTTAATCATTACATGTATGTTGCTAAGGAGGACACACTGAACCAATGTAATTAGGCCATAAAAGTCATAGAAGTGACAAGGGAGGTGTCCACCAAGTATATTAGTAAAAATTTAATCGGTGCACAGCAACGACACACCAATCAACAAACAAACAATAGTGATGTCACACCTGTTCAATATGACTCCATGTTTATGTTCATACAAAATAAACTTCTACCCAAACCGCCTCTTTACAACTTCCTCTTTTGAAATGGCCACTGGAATGCAATGCTTAGCTATTCAGTTTATTGTCATGATCCTTTATTGTCACAACCTGGATAACGATTTCAAGACGCACCTTAGAAACACACAGTAATCTGTATAAACCTCCTGGCACACCTACTACAACATCGTTTCCAGACAAGCACACGTGCTTCCACACACCTTGGATCAGCTCCAAAAAAGCTGCTTGACTGAGTAATTTAACTTTTCAGAATATGACCCAACTTCTCTGCTCATGTCTGATGTTCTGTGGTGGGTTTTAGATAATCCAGCAAACCCGCTTCTTCAGCCTCCATTTGCAAAGAGAGCATGTGACGGTGATAATAGGTTGACTTACCTGTGTCATAACAAGTGTTTTTGATTGAAATTAACATCAATTTAACTTTAATAATGTAGCTTCTTCTTAATAATCATTAATCAACATTTTCCAGACACATCCTCCCCATGGTGTGTGACTACAGTGAATTCCAATCGTACATACACACAAAACAGACATCATGACATCATTAGGAGAGCTCAGGGCTCTTTCCAGCGTGTCTGTTATTGTTATGGTTCTGTGACCACTTTTCTAACCCACAATGTGACCACACACAAACACACACACACACACTGTAGGAGTCCCATCATCCCTGCCGCACCCAGGAGTGAGTGGGTGAGCCACATTTGATGTGGACCCACTGGAGTGCTGATTGGTCACTGGAAAAGTTCTCTCTACATTGTCTTTCTGGTATCAGGAATATAGAGAGGAGTGGGTGGCATGGGCCAGGCAGCCAGATAACAAGCAGAGTGATAAGTATGTTTGGAATAAAATGTGCTTCCCAACATTTTCCATGTGAGTGCTCTCTGATTGTGGGACCAGAGATTAGATGTCAATTGTTTATAAAAGTGAAATTGTAACTAATGGTGACTGTATCGCTGACTCAAGCAGCTAACCTTAAACATAAGTAGCACTTTGTGTGTCAGTCAGTCTGTCCACAATTGTCTGTGTGTATGTCTGATGTATCGATGAATGGGAGGAAATCAGATCATGAGGTGAATGTCTGGTCCCCGTCAGACTTTGATATTAGTAACCTCTGTCTGGCTGGAAACCTTTATTGTGGACACAGTGTCCTGAGAGAGGTCAATCTTAGCAAAGAAAGGCTACCAGCAATGATAAGTCCACATTGTCGGTTTGTAACCTGTGAACCTGTCATTTAAAAAGATGTTAGGAACCAGAAAAGATAAAAACTTTCCAGTATTTCACAATAATAATTAGGCCGAATGAATATAAATTATGTGATAGAACATTTTTCATCACCCACTGAGCATCTTGCAGCCCCTCACATTTAACTTGTGACCCACTGGAGGGGGCTTGACCCCCAGGTTACTGCTATACACTGCTGTGTGCAACCAAATGATCAGTGACTTTTATGCTGAACAAGACAAGATGTGCCAAAACACTGATCTGTTCATCTGAGTTATGAGCTCACTGCTTTCTTCTCCTTTGTATTGGGAACCTTTATTGCCTGATACTTTCATGTCACCGAGACAAACTTCGTCTTTACTGACTATGACAGAGGTCTGAGAGGAGTGAGTTTTCTTCACTCTTCAAAGAAAGAGTGAAGAAAACTTACCCCATCTTAAGGGCTGCTTTACCTGTAAGTTCAAGTTTATGCCCAAAGAAGGCTTTCCTCCAGGAGGAAGTGGGCGGGGTTACAGGCAGTGTGAGTGTGTTTGTGTGTGTGTGTGTGTGTGTGTGTGTGTGTGTGTGTGTGTGTGTGTGTGTGTGTGTGTGTGTGTGTGTGTGTGTGTGTGTGTGTGTGCTGATTGTGACAGCTGGTGAGTGAAGCAACAGGAGGGCAGATAAGGGAAAGGGCTACGTGAAACACCTGAATCCGTGTCTTCCGGCATTCACCTTGTTGCTAGCAACCACAGAGCATAATAATGACTCTGTGCGGCAAGTCGTGCACTTGCGTGTGTGCCGCTGTGTGTCACACAGACCTCCCTCTATCCACCAGGTGGTGTGCCTACCTGTCTGACTGAGCAATCGTCATCTCCTGTGATTGCTTCAAACTCCTGTAACAATATTCATCAGATAGAAACGATCAAGCTTCACGTGGCTCATCTGTACACTAACCACATTTGTTTCTAATTATTGGTATTGGCCAAGTGCTTAATGACACAGAGAGGCTCTACACTCAGATTACTGTTATATGAAGTGCTATGTTATAATGGACTAAAAAAAGACCTCTGAAGAGAGATGTTTTCATTTATAGTGGAAATCATTAGTCTAGACTAGTCTAGTCCCTTTAGTGTTCCAGGACCCCTCATGTCTAGGAAGGAAGTATGAGTCTGTCGCTGTCTCCAAGACTCGGACACACATGCACACACACCTACACACACACACATCATACACATAAACACACTCGCATTATCCAGTGTTGAGGTAGCCAAAAAATGATGTCATGGCCTGATCACTTTACCCGTCCTCCTCTTCGTCTTCTTTCTCCTCCCGTGGCCTGGATTGCAGATCAATGAGGAATGGAGAGAATGAGAAGAGAGAGAGAGAGACTGTGTGTGTGTGTGTGTGTGTGTGTGTGTGTGTGTGTGTGTGTGTGTGTGTAAGTGGCTGGTGAGAGAGACAGGGATGAGTTATTGACAGGAGCAAGCTCTTTGCTGCCTCCATCCTGAATCACTCAGAGCTGATGACACGTCTAAATTCTTATTGATACCATGCCATGTCGGCTATTTGCTACACTGCTTCTTGAAGCTCTTCATATTGAGTTAGACAGTGATGTTAACACACATGGGTTGCAGCCAACTGCAGTGAGGTCTGGCAGATTTTAATGTGGGGGAATCTCCTGGGAATCAGCCTTTGGTCTCGTTCAGTGGCCAGGTTTGTTACGGGGTGGTGTGTATGGGTCACTGGATTCCTCCAGCATGAGGTAAAAGTAATGAGTCATGCAAGAGTGGCCTCACAGACCGTCGACATTTAATAATACAGTTATTAGACATTAGAGCAGAAGCCAGTAACAGGAATGCACCAGTCTCCCAATTTTTGGAGGAAACAATAATATTTATGTTTCCTTCATGTCACTTAAGAATCTCTGTCACTGGCTTTATCATCAAGTAGAGTGTGTGGAATCTCAAACATGGTCCAGACAATCCACAGCATACCGGAGAGGACTTAAGAACCTGCAGCAAAACAATACACAGGCAACTATGCAGCCTTAAACCAGGTCAACGCCAGGGCCATGGCTGCAGTTTGTACTGTTCATCAAGGTTATTACTCAATGATTAAGTGAGTCAAAGTTAACAGTACTTCATAAATCCCATATAGTGAAATGTTTCAGTTCCAAAAATAAACAGGACAAACACAAGTA